GGGTGGTTGCAGATGCTTGTGGCAGATAGAAGATATGCTGTCTTCTACAGTAATGAAGTCATGCTAGGGTCCCATTTGAGTTTTCTTTCCAGGATGCTTCTGTTCTGGGCAGAAAATCAGCTTTCCCACTTCAGACATGTAACCCAATTTTGGGGGTACTGATTTTGGGAGGGAGAATGTGCTTTTGGTATGTGAACAGATATGGTAATTCTATCCATTAGGTACAGCCTCCTAGCCAGGACAGACATCATGCAGCTTCTTACAGGACCACTCCCACTGCTGAAATGTGGAGAGGACTTCCAGGGGATCTGTACGTATTTACAAAACACTCTTCCCTTTCAGTGGTGGCTAGGTCGGATCCCTGTTTTAGAAGATCTGTTCCACAGTTTCCTTCTGATAGGTGCACATCTCTTTTACCTCAGGACACTATTTGTGAGTCACCAAGAGTGGATTATATAACGAACATAAGCAGACAAGGTTCTTTGGATAAATCTGATATCTCTTATTAGACCATCTCAGATTTACTCAAAGAACATTGTCTGCCTATGTCTTTAGACCAACATGGCTACAACATATACTCTTATTATGTGGATAATCACTTGACAGAAACCTGTAGTAACTCATTACTTGATACATTTTGCCCACATATCTAAGTTTCTTATCATAATTAGGTAAGTGGCTCTTTTAAACATGTCCTTTCACATTTTGAGGCCCTGCGTTTAACACAGATTAACATAAACTGCCTGGTTCATTGCAACTAATACTACTATTACATAACTCTGATTTAGGAAAACAGAAAAGCTAATGACTGTCTGGAAGATATTGTTTATAAATATAACTCTGAAGTTTTCCATTTTTTTTCCAAGTACACTTCAGCTATGTTGACCAGTTTGATGCCAGAGCACACAACTACTTTTTTTTAATGTGTGTACACAGTGGTGAGGGATTAGAGACATTGCAGAAAGACATTATAGTGGTTATAACCTGGCCCTTACAACAAGAAAAGGTGTACGTTGACAGTCTCAGAGTCTAAACGTCTGCATCCGAGGTACTTCCTTAGCTCCCATCACCATAGTAACTGAATGCCTCTCAGTCTTTAACAAAGTCAGCTTCACAGCACCCCATGAAGGGGGGAATCTTATTCCATTCTAATAGGTGATAGATGGACTGAAGCACAATAACAAGAAGTTACCTGCAGGAAATGTGGCAGAGCAGGGGATAGAACCCTGATCTCTCTCATTCTGGGTTGCTATCCTCGCCCTTAGGCACTCCTTCCTCTGAATGAAGGGTTCCCAAGGCTTAAAAATAGTGACAAAATACAATGACAATATTTGTCTTCTCATTGTGTTGTTCAGGTGTCTCTCAAGTGCATTTATGTCCCGCTGGAATTACACTTCACGCTGTCAGTCTCTTGGTATATCATGCCCCAAAGTCCTCAACTTCCAAGGATGTTATGAGGATAGAGATGCATATAGCTACATGCAGAATTTGTGGCTGTGGAAGTAAACACATTTAAATAACATTAAAACAGAATTGCGGCAACACTTTAGAATTCACTGTGTGAATATACTCATTTAAGCAAAACGCTTACTGGCTAAACGGCACAAATTATAATTAATTGGTCATTGTTGCTGTTGTCCTGAGACATGCCCTTGAATTTATGATGACTTTAAGTAAAAGAATATAATTGTTGGGGATTCAGGTATAAACACTGTTTTTATTTTTCTCACACTGCTTCCTGAGTGCCAAGAGGTTTTGGGTCAGCCTTTCTTACTTTCAAAAGTAGTTTAATGTATTCCCTTCCTTCCCTTTCTCCCAAAATGTACTGATGCTTATATTTAGGGCAAGAATTGTCTATTGAGTAGTTCTAAAACCTTGCACACAATACTTGAACCTATAGAGGTTATAGGAACTAGCTTCAAAGAAAGGTCCTTTAGGTTGTCCTAGTCTGGTTCTTTTCAGTAATAAATTAGAACTTACTGTTCTTCCCTGTTTGTGAATGGACGCTGAAAATACTTGCTTCTTGGGCATTTAAGTTAAGCCTCTACACTTTTTTTTAAGTAGCATTTTTTATAGTTGACTCTGAATAATTATTCATTTGGCACAGAGAATGGGCTAGTTGCCTGATTCCCTACAACATTTTGTATCTGAACGTGACAAAAGATGTTAATTATGGAGCCTCTAATAAACATGGATTAAAAAATAAATCCCTCAGAACCCTTTTTGTCATTTTAGGGTAAGGACTATTACAGTTCCTGGTTTGCATATTTGCATCTCTACTGCCTGCTTTGGTTATGCAGCTGACAGTTAACTGAGAAGTGGAATAAATCTCTTTATAGGAAACAGTGAGAATACAGATACCTATTATTTTTAGAGCTTGCAATTGTATTAGGTGTAGAGGAGGCGGGAAGAACTGTGTGCACCTATGTGACATCAATTCAGGATTTTTTTTGTTAGTGATCTGTCAGCTAGTTAAAAATGAGGTAACCTCATTGGTTTGGTTTTAAACTATTTTGTCTTTATTACTTTCTAATAAATTATCTTGGCCCCAGACTGGCTAAAAAGTAATAGCAAAGTAAAACCGAAGCTTGGTCAACCAAACTGATACACTAAGCCATCCTGAGAAGTGCCGTGGAGCACTGGGAATGTAAAATGGCTCTGCTGAGGTCTTGCTCATAGGATTTTCTTTTAGAAAATGAAGCGGTATTCTCCTAGGAAAGTGATCTCATATTATTCTGCTTCTATGGTGTTTTGCCAATCAGATGGAGACCAGATAGAGATAGCATTAGTGAACTGTTTGGGAAAGTGCTAGATTATCTTCCATTTATTTTGGGAGGCTAAATTTTGTATTAGATGATGATGAAGAATTGCCTTTCTCCTTTAAATAGTTCATTTGAAATTTTATTTTAATGTCAGGTAAAAATAAGTGTTACTAATATCATACTTGCCATTATCATACCATATAATACAGGGGTGGGCAAAGTCTGGCCCGCGAGTGCAAAGTCAGTGCACTCCATTTCCCAGCATCCCCTGCCCGTATGGCTAGGGCTGGTCTCCATTGACAGTCATGTGATGCTGCGGCTAGTAAAGCAAGCAAAACACTGGCTTGCATTCATAGATGCTTCTCAAGCAAATCCCGGGACGTCATTCTCCCGTTGCGCTCGGCCTTGGTGAGGCCGCAGCTGGAGTACTGCGTCCAGTTTTGGGTTCCAGAATTCAAAAAGGGTGTGGAGAAGCTTGAGAGAGTCCAGAGAAGAGCCACGCGCATGATCAGAGGGCAGGAAAACAGACATTATGATGAGAGGCTGAGAGCCATGGGACTCTTCAGTCTGGGAAAGACAGGCTCAGGGGCGATCTGGTGGCCACCTATAAGTTTATTAGAGGTGTTCACCAGAATCTGGGGGAATGTCTATTCACCAGAGCACCCCAAGGGATGACAAGACCAAATGGTCACCAACTCCTCTGCGACCATTTCAGGCTGGACATAAGGAAGAACTTCTTTACTGTCTGAGCCCCCAAGGTTTGGAATAGACTGTTGCTGGGGGTGGCTCAAGCACCCACTTTGAATGCCTTCAAGACACTTGGATGCTTATGTTGCTGGGATCCTATGACCCCTGCTGACTTCCTGCCCCTGGGGCAGAGGACTGGACTGGATGATCCTCTGGGGTCCCTTCCAGCCCGAATGTCTATGAAATCCCAGTTGCACCTGAGGTATGATAGCGCAAGGCTGGGGTTGCCATGGAGACCAGCCCCAGCCACGCTGGCAGGGTGCATGGCAGGGCAGGGGCTTGCTCCGGAGCTGCTGGGATCTTGTGGCAGGGGCAGCTTGGTCTGGGGCAGGGCAGAGCTGCGATCTGCAGCCTGCATGCTCTGGGCAGGGGAATGCAGGCAGCGGACTGCAGCTCTTCCCTGCCTCAGGACCAAGGAGCCACGATTCGCTGCCTTCATTTCCCCTTCCTGGAGCACGCAAGCTGCAGATAGTGGCTCTGCCCTGGCTCTGGACCAAGCTGCTCCCACCACAAGATCCTAGTGGCCCTAACAGCATGGCTGGGGTCGGTTTCCACGGCAACCCCAGCCTTGGTGCTATCACAGCGTGGGTGTGGCTGGGGTCACCATGGAGACTGGCCCCAGTCATGCCAGCAGGGTCTGCTAGGAAATGGAGTCTGGCTGCTGGCCAGCTCCACCATTTTGCCCACCCCTGATATAATACCATGCTTGTTCATAAACAGAATGGGAGTGCCTGTAAGCATCACTCCAGGCTCTATCTCGATTAATGTATTTAGAATGAATAGGGGTGTGAACTCTACGAAGAAGTTCAGTTCTGGCTGAAAGTTACAGGCCTTCCAGTCTTTAGGGGACTACTCTTTTAGCAATGCAGCTTTAGTTTAAAAAAACAAATCTTCAGGGTGTTCATGATAAAATGATACATCAGTGCTACAAAACTATAGGTTTTCCTTCTAAATAGCTAATTATTTTCCCTCCAATGAATATACAGGATTAATTAAAGACTGAGATGCTTACTTGATAAAAAGGTTACATGATAACATTGAGGTATGCCCTCTTGCCCCCAGTCCATCTGTGATGCCAGTCCTCGTGGAGTGGTTGTTTATATTTTTAAACAAGTATTTTTGTGTTTTTCACTGTTGTTGCCTGTTGTGCATGGAACTGGCTTTTACTCAGATTGTGAATTCTTTGGGGCAGGGACTGTCTTTCTATTGTTTATGTACACAGTACATATGATGGCATCCTGGGCTATTCTGGGGCATAGTGGGGCACAAGTGTGTTTACATCATTACAAATAATAGCAAAGATATGTTTTCATTAGCCAAGGGCATGACATTTCCAAAACTGTTGCACTAAGGTTTGACTATTGAATCTGAGGGTATCTTTGAGAGCAGGCCATTCTTTATAATTGGTTAAATCTAATCTCTTGAATGTGATATAGACCAGAAGCTCCTAGTTTGAGCTCTAATTCTTTAATGTAACCTTCTGTCTTCCAGAGAACTCCACAGAAGCAGACTTATGGCTGCTGAACAGTTGCACGGTAAAAAGCCCAGCTGAAGACCACTTCAGAAACTCAATTAAGTAAGTTGAAGTCATTTTTTCCAAAGAAGAGCTTATCACATTTATCTGTGATAAGTCTTTGGTTTTAAATTATACCTGTTTTCAATCTAAAAGTAAACCCTCCCTCCCTGGTGTATAGCAGAAGGGAAGTGTGAGTTTGAATGTCATGGTGATCTTCACTCACCCAGCTGCAAAGGATTTGTAAACCCTAATGTGGTAATTGTCAAAATAGGTATCCTGGGGTTTTGTAAGTGTTTCAGTAGTCCAGTTGCTTGAGAGATCCAACCCTCTATTACTACAGTGGTTTCCAATTAATTTTTAAGAAAGATTTGTTAGTGTTTTCCTTTAAATAGTTGCATACATGTTTTGGAAAGTTCTGTGAATGACTAACTATGTTAGTGATACAGAATAGTAGTGATAGTGTTGGGGACTTCCACCTTTTTGACTTCAGCAAAAGTATAGCTGTAATGAGAGTTAATGGAAAACCTGAACATTCATAGGTGGATTGTGTCGAGTATAAATAAAATGTGTTATTCCCCATTGCTTATATTACTTGTGTGATGTTCCTTTTACTAAACAATCCCATGGATGTTTCTGGAATCAGTTGTTTGGGGTAGCCTATTGATTGATCATTTGCTGAAAATTCACTTGGCAAGGAACATACAGTTCTCATCAAGCAGCTGGCACACTAAGTGGGGGTGGGGAGGGAGGGGTAGTAGAGATGGGAGCTTGATTGAAGCTCTTGGCTTGCAGTCCTACAGCTCCTAACAACTCCTCAGTGCTGTGCCCTGGAACAGAAACAATTTGTCCACAGTGGGTGAACAATTAAAATAAAAAGATTCCTCCTTTATCCTACAGAGAAGTTCATTTCCTGGTTGCCAGTGCAGTGTTCTGTGATGAGATTAGCCTCATGTGTTGCCAAGAAAAGCTTGCTTCTTGGTTTCCAGAACTGGCAGTCAGTGTGTATGGGCCAACTAAACAGATGACAGGATCTCTTCCAGTTCAGTTGTGGTGATCTTTCTGCTGTACTGATCACAGACCAGAATTGACAGTAGAAGTGTGTGCCTTGCTGATGAAGAGAGGGGCCCAACAGAAATACTCCCTGAACTTCATGTTTTTGCCTTTCCTGCACTTGTGAACCTCTGTCTCAGTTTTCTGACAAACAGATGTGCAAAATAGTCTCTCTCAGTTGATTCCGATTGCTGGCAGCCCTTTCTTTCTGCTAACACATTCATTGTACTACAACTTTTTCAGTTTTTGACATTCCTTAATTTTAGGGAATGAGGATTTTTTTTTCTGTTTCAGTATTTTATAACGATTGCACTGAGAGACGTGTTTGAGATGTTCTTCTGTGGGGTTTATTGATTTCTCAGATGCATTGTGGAAATCTTGTTTCTCTCTTTCATATTCAAGTTAAAGAGGAGGTGAAGCATTAAAATGTTTCACAAATAGCATTTCATAGCAGCAAACTTGAATGAGTAAAGCTACTTGTTATTTTGTCATGTCAGAAGTAGTTAGCTAGGTTGTGGTCATAGGGATCTTTGTTCCTCGGGTACGAAACAGTGAGCAGTCTGTGCTGCTTTTTGGGAAGAATTTAATCACTTTGCTTGATAAGGTTCTTTTGCCTGAGGAAAGATGTTGTAGCTTTGGAGTTTAGTGTTTGCTTTTAATGCAAAATATTGAAGACTGTTTATACAATTGCTAATCTTAATCATACTACATGCGGGCAAATACTTGGATCTTTGTAGCTTTGTTTATTCTTTGGCTTCTATAACAATTTCTCATACTGACTTTTTTGAGTATTTATGGCTTATTTAGAATTTCACTGATTCTAAACATTAGCAGCATGTGGTTCCTCCTCTTTAAAGAACTGCCTTGGATCAGTGACTAATATTCCTTGGCCAAATAATGCATTTGAAACCAGCTAGTAGAATTCAGCCTCTCCAATGGCAAACTAGTTATATAAAATAGATGTTTTTTTCCAGGATGCTAAATCACAAGATACAAAAAAATACATGAATACTTTTTTTAAAATCCCAAATAGCTAAGTGGAAAGAGTCTGTGGGTTAATTGAGTTAAACTGTACTTTAGAAAATGGAGTATTGTTCCAGGAGTAGCAGGTAAAATGTGTGATGGGAATTATGAAGGAACTACTGTATTTACTTGAATCTAGACTGTCCTCCCCCCCCTCATTTTTCCCTTCCGCTTGGTTTTGAGTACAAGTCAGTGGAGGGGGGTGCTGGTGGCAGTTCTGGCTCCAGCTGTGACTCAGGGTTGGGGTCGGATTTGCAGGTGCTGCCTGCCCCACCCACCACCGCTGCCCCTGCAACCTCTGTCCTCCCTTCCCCTTACTACTTATCTTCTGGCACTGGCTGGGCCCCAGAGCCTGGGCTGGAGCTGCTGCCACTGTTGCCACTGCTACTGGGCTGGGGTGTGGCCAGAGCAAGCATGCTTTGTGCTCCAGGCTGAAGCAGAGCTGGAGTCATGCTGGAGTCAGAGGGTTAGTGGCTGGGAGGAGGCTCTGGGGAGTGGGGGAGGCATGGGGCAGGTACTGGTGGGAGGTGCCAGAGAATATAGGAATAATGGCCAAGTAGCAGGGGGGAGGGGAGCAGGCATGGGGAGGTCAAGTCATGGGGGAGACGGGTAGCAAGGGGTCAAGCTGCTTGACGCCTGCCCCCCTGCCACTGCTTTCCCTGCTGACTGTGGGGGATGAATTAAAGACAACCCTTCAATAATTATATTCTGTACAAGGTAAATTATAATAATTTTATGAATTTTCTATATATAGAATGTAATTATTGGGAGGGCAGGGTCATCCTAAATTCAGAGTAGTCCTGCATTTGGGTAAATATGGTAGTTACGTAGGTGTGTTAGTTTTCCAACAGTGCAAAGGCCATTTGTTAGTGAAGTGCAAACTTGGTGAGTTTGTTTGTTATCCACTGAACACTAAATAAATAAAAAAGAATTTCCATCAAATGGCATTTCTCTCATTGCAGGAATTTGTTTATCAGATACCATCCCAGTAGCATTAAAACAAGTAATGAAAAGGAAGAATATTTGCTTCTGAGCAGCACCTGGTTTTCATACATGGACTATTAATTCTGTGGAGTAATGTTTACGGTGCAGATATGACTAAACTGACTGACACAAGCAAAAGAGTCCTTTAAGGCATATATGTGCCAAAATGACACAGCAGGTCCCTTAATCAGATTTATGCTTTGGCACTCGGTTAAAACTGACTGTAGAGTTTTATGCCTGTTGGACATCTACATAAACTTCACATTTATCCTATAAAAGACATGACTACTTACTAGAATGGGCATACGGACTGTTTGACGAGCAGGTGGGTCCTTGATCATAGGTATGCCTTTCATACTGCAGTCCTGAGCAGCTGTTTACCAAAGGGCAGCCTGCGGAAAAGCTCCAGAATCTGAGACTCCATTTGACAGATAATTTTTTGTTTCATAGAACTCTTGCTGGAGGGGAAAAATAGACCTTGGCCATAATGTGAGTGCCTAAAATGTGATCCTCTAGGGCTACAATCAGATTTTTTTGGGGGTATTACACATTGACAATTTTGATTTCATTGGACCTTTTGAATAGTTAGTATGGGGGGAAAAAAAAAAAGAAAGAAAAATTTAAAAAAAGCAGCTAATAAATGACATAATGCTCTGATTTTTTTCAAGATTTGATGGTACAAGTGTTTATATAAGTAGTATATAAATTGGGTAACTGCTGTCACAGATGGCTGGCCATGTGTACATATAGTGATGTTTGACTATTTTTAAAATTAAGATGGTTCAACAGTTAAACTTTGGGTGTTACATATGATGAAAAATGCCTTACCTCCCATTTGGGATTCAGTGATTCTCCCAGCAAGATGGAAACAGTTTAAAATGCTACTTTTGAAAAGGCTTCCCATTTTGTACTTAATTTATATATAACTGCTATAAATGTCAAATTTAAGGTTTTCCTGCTGATCAATATGATCTGTTTTCTTTTAAGCCCTAAGTTCCATAGTGTCTTAGATGTGGTGTGTGGGGTTTTTAAGTGCATTCCAGTAGGCTTGATTGAAGTAACGTCACCTTGCTTTCTTAGAAGCACTAAGCTGTGATAGGTGATGAATGCCAAATGTCTTTAACAATTGTCAACGATTTCTACAATTTTGTTTTAGAAAAAGAGGGACCTTGGAAGTAATTGACAACTTCTTTGTATTCTGTTTATCCTAGAGACCTAACCAGACATTATATCTTGAATAAAACTCAGCATGTCATTCAAGGAGCTGTCAAATATCGTCTGAATGCATACAGAATTTTTTTCCTGCTATACTAAATAGTGCAGTCTTCCCCCTCGCCTGCCCTCCCTCCCCACCACACTCTGTAGCCTGACAGCTCTGTTAATCATATAGAAAAGACATTTTATGAAATGGAATTTTTCCTCTGCAATCCATTGCATTATGGCAGGCATATTAAACTTGCTCCAGCTGGATCTGTGGAACCAGTAGCAGTTGTGGTGGGGGTCTGGTGGTGGTAGGGCTAAGCAGCTACAGAGGAAGCAAGGACTGTCTGCACAGCCCTCAGTCACCTCCTCCCTCTCCCCCCCCAACATGCCAACAGCCAGGTCCATTGGGGTTTAGGGGCCCCAGATTTTGCAGTACGCCCCACCCCTAGCCCTACACCCAGCTTCTAGCACCCTGCCAGTAGCCTAGCAGGTCAGACTGAATGGCATCACAGGCTGGGTCTGGCTCATGGGTCTCATGTCTGACACCCCACTCTCTTATGCTGTTTGTTGATGTGCCACTAGCCTGGATTAGCTCACCTGATTGGGGACAGAACATTTGAAAGATGGTAGCAGAGAGAGCTTTCTTCTTCAGCCATCCTTCCTCAGTCTTGCACCCCCCACTTTTTTTTCCTTGTGTTCTCAGTTGGCTTTAAACTTGAGGTTGACATTGGCTGTGACACTTAATTTCTGAGTAGTGGCCTCCCTGCTGTTCCTTACTTTAATGCAGGGGTTCCCAAACT